GAATCGCACTTCCACGCCTCAAAACCCGCACAAAGTCCTGCGCCTGCCACGAAAAGTGACAATATCATCGCACGTGAGCTTCAACAAAATTTGCACTGGAATGATTTCGACCCGTTCTGAGCACACTCCCATCCACCAAAATCGCCATTTCAGCTGAGACTTGTCACGAAAACCGAGCTTCGATGCCACACCCTGAAACGCAAACCCCAATGGCACGGCCACATCCAACACCCCAAAAACATGACTCTCCAAACGCTAATCCCAATGGAACTGCGCAGCAATCTGCGGATCTCACAAAACGCTGCGCCTGTGCAGCGAAATGCATCACGTTTCTTGCGCGACATGTTGGTGTCACGCAAATCACAATGGAATAGCGGCGCAAACTGACACGTGACACATCCATGAAAAGTCACTTGCAAAAGCTTCCCCCAATTGAGACGCGACGACGACAAGAGACGACGACAAACGACGAGAGACGACGAGAGACGACGACAGACGACGAGACGACCCAAGCCATGCAAACACAGGTCCAACCCCCAGACCCCCAACTATAAACGGGAACCCTTCGCTACGCATTCGGGAAAAATGCCAAAAGCCCATGGAAGTTAGAAACTCGTGAGAATAATAGGTGTGATATCAGCATGGGAATTGATGAGCAGTGCTGATCGTCAATCTCGCACAAAGCAGCCATCCCTCAACTTAAACCACCAAAACAAAGCTCAAGGCTAACCGTGTATCAGCAATTGTGATTGGACAAAAATGACTCATCTCCTTTTTGCATCCCTGTTGCCTGTTTCCTCCTTGTTGCATCCCTCTGTCCTCCCTCCTTCCTCCTCTTTCCTTCCTGCCCTCCATACCATCTCATTTGCTAAGATCGCTGTTGCGTCAAGTGTTGACCACTTAGAGCTCCTCACCTTATCTCTATAACTTGCATGTGTGTCAAGGGGCTACCATTGTGCCCTTGCCGCGCAACGAACATGCGGCACGTCCGATCCAGAATCCAACATTTTGCTGTAGGAACATGCAGGACATGCATGCCTTGGGTATCCTTGGGTTCATGGTTTCTTTGCCCTGTCTCCTTCTGTGAGCCGAGCAGCAGCTGAGGAAGGCCAAGAGTCAAATAGAATACAATCGTGCGCAATCCCTTTTACGATTATCTTTTCGCTTGCCAAAGCTGCAGAACGAAAGATTGCGCGCTGTTCTCGTTGGAGCATGGGCCCAAAAGAATGCAATGAGCAAACCCAACAGAATTTGATTTTATCTGGGGCCTTGCTGGTGTCGGGGGAAGGGTCTGAGGCTCTCAAAGCACGGTGCTGCAGAGACCGAGGAAATACCTATGTCTTGGAACTGCATGGAACTGCAAGCTTTAAGCCCTCCCAGCACACTGTAGCCTGACTCTTTCCAGTACTGAATGCCACATAACTGTTCCTACCCTATCTACAATGACCTTGAACAAAGCACAAGCAAGCAAGCAAGCAAGCAAGCAAGCAAGAAAGCAAGCTGGCCTGTTGAACAACTTAGCAGCCAAAGACACAACCCGTAAACCAAGAACTTTTGTGCGCGGACGAAAACATTGATGAATAGGCCAAACAGTTGTACAGCTTCAATCCACAATGTACCCACTGTCCAGCTTTCCAAGAGGGCGTTTGCTCGGTAGGAGGGGCCATGCATTGTCTTGATCCGCAATCGCTTCGTGAAACAATTCGACTATGCACTGTGCAGCAAAATAATGGGCACCGACAGGGGGTCATTGTGTCTTAAGATGTCTCCAAATCCAAAGATGTCTTCCTGGAGGTGGTCTTTTCTGCGCAAACTTCCCAAAAACCTATTGCATAGTTACGGTTTACAGTGCGAGATTCTTTTGGGAGGAAACTGGCTGCTTCTGATGTCACCCCCTTGAAACTTTGATGTATTCATGCTTGCACTATCTTGCACGTTGTGCAAATCGTCTTCTTTCCCTTGTCACGCTCTTTGTTTGTCATCGTACACCACAGCCTTGCTTCTCGCGCATCCTCTTTCCTCTCTCTTTCCTCCCTCCTTCCTCCTTCCTCCATCTTTCCTCACCCCTTTCCTTCCTCGCCCCTACCTCTTTACTCTCACCGCCTCACTCTCTCTCTTTCTTTCTTTTCTCCTTTTGGTTCGTCTGCCTCTTCAGCTCCTTTCCTCTCCCATCGATCCTCTGCTCTGCTCTGCTCTGCTCTACTCCTCAGATCAACGAGAACCTGACGAACATTCCCGGAAAGTCAAGCCCAAATTAGCAACAAGCCCAAATGGCCACAATTAGCAAACATGAGTCAACAATGCAGTTAATCCAGCAGGGAGTCTGAGTCGGGGTCTGAGTCTGAATCGAGATTATCAGATTGATAATCTGTAGATAGGAGAGACGGCAAGCTTTGAAGCTTAGGCAAACAAGAAACAAGCGTCGAAGTGGGAAGCATGGTCGCGTTCGCAAAGCAATGATCGCTTACAGTTCGAGAAATGCATCTGGTCTTCCTGAAATATTGATGAAGAGCTGTGCAGAGCTGCTGCCGAAGCTGCACAATTTTGGATGAATCCTGCCATGCAAGCAACTTTCGGCATTCATTGAAACAAACAAGTATCCAGCCTCAGCAGACGGCGTAGTCGCCTACAATGGAGGCCGGCTTGTTACAAAAAGCTTGCATCTGTCGGACAGGAAAATTGGATGCAGTGACTCAACAGAAGCCACGGTGAGGGATGGCAGCAGCAAGACTGTACGAGTACAGCATTCAATCCAATTGAAACTATGTCCGATGTCTTTACACGAGTTAGACTTATATGCACTATTGGTCAACATGTACGACACACTGCTCTGATAATATTGATTCAAGAAACCTCATTGAGGTTGTCAATTTCAACTTCAGCAATGCAAACAAAAAGGATCATGCCAAGTTGTGTCCATGGATCTGAAAGTGAATATCCTGGCCCCAAAGCCTCGGCAAAGTCAGCAAGCTCCTCATCCAACAAAGCCAAATCACTCTGTGATGTAGGTGCTTACAAACAACTCTGATGACAAAGCACGGTTTTTTCTTGGCCATCCCTGCTGTTGTAGATTGAAGAGCGTCATTTGGCTTCACAAATCTGTCCTCGAAGCTCAACAACTCCTCTGGCGACTGTAGGATGCGACGGTTAACTTCACTGACCAACCTGATGGGCAAACCAAGCGAAATGATCGATCTGTAATTGATCACGTGCAAAATCAGCAGGCTGAGGTTGGAAACCAAAGGTTGCTTTTCTCTATGTGTTTTCATGATGTGCTTTATGGCGCTGATGGAAAATATGCAACCGTTCTGGAAAAACTGTATAGTTTAGGCGTATTTGTAAGTTGTATATATATAAATACGTTATAAAGCGGGTGGAGGATCAACAAGAAAACAAACAATTAACACAACAAAAATCACCCAAAAGGTCAAACGAAACACAAATAAAATAAGGATCAACAAAAAAGACATCTAGCGATGCTACAATAAAAAAAGGACAAACGAGGATCAACATAACAACAAATACGGATCAAATAATATGTTTATATATAGTGTAATAATGAACTATTGACCAATTTGAACAAGCAGCAGCAGCAGCAGCAGTAAAAACAATGCTAGCGGTAGCGGGACCTAGTATATAGTAGTAGAGCGTAAAGTCATCATAGTACTAGAAGTAGTAGTGGTGGTGGTGGTGGTCGTGGTGGTAGTAGTAGTAGTAGTAGTAGTAATCGTGGCAGCAGCAACAGTAAGAGTAGCAGAGTAGCCCCAACAGTCGTACAAGCAGTAGTAGCAATAGTCGTAACAGCAGCTTGTGCAAGTAGTTTGTTAGACCTTCCTTCATTCCTTCTTTCCTTGCATAAACAAAATACAAAGATCCCCAACGCGTCCGGTGTTTCACAGAGCTTCGAGGTTTCTGACAATTGTCCAGGTGATTTTGTTTATATAGAATAAACATAATTTGATACTATATACATGTACAGTATACATCATGTACCACGTTTCCCGGCCTAAAACGATGGAAACATGGACCTAAGTCTAACATACTCCTGTCCTAGAACTGGAACGGCAATCATTCTCGGTGACTGGCCAAGATTGACTAGAATCCATCACTTGAGTTTAAAGTGGCTGGGTTCCAGGACCTTTGCCCCGCCTTCGTATCAGCGGCAGCATAGGCTTCTTCTCTGCCACAGGCCTGAGATGCACGGGTGTGGAATCTCGAAACTTCTCTACAAAGGGCTTATGTGGCAAGTAGGTGGACCAAAGACATGATGCAATGGCAGGTGAATGCAGCTGTGCTAAAATCAGCTGCATGGTATATAGAAATTGGCTGGCTGGCTGGCTCTCAAGCTACTTTGTGGAAGTTTGCTCCTTGAAAGTTGAACGCAAATAAACAGGCATGTCATCACTGTACGCTGAACCTCATGAGGTGGCTCTGCCCATCGAACCCTCCTGGAGGAAGTGCCGTGAACATCCTCATTGAGATATCTGTCGGATGTTTGCTTCAGTCCATCCCCCGAAGCAACCATGGAATTTGGAGGTCTGCTGTAAACAAGAGATCTGTCACCAGTGCTTCCTTAGCCCTCAATGCAGCGATCCGTGTAGCTTCTGCTGGAGTACGAGCTGCAGTAAGTTTGCTGGAGACGTGCTCATAGCTAGCCTCCAAGGCCCCAAATGGCTCTTCACGGCTACGAGCCGGAAGATCAAACTGCACCACTTGTTGCACTCTCACCCCTGGCCCTGCCATCTCCTTCAGCTCCGGAGCGATCATCGGCGCCATGCTGGCACTCGGAGCCTTTGCAAATGCCTCTCGAAACTCCTCCGGAGTTGGAGTGGGGCCGTTCGTTCCGCTCCTCCAACTGTCCACGCTAACGTGTTGCACACTTTTGCCTTGTGGTGTTCTTTGGCACTTCTCAACGCGACTCCGGACAGGTTGTTGAGGGTGGACGGCAAAAATGTGCTCTTCGTTAAATGTATTTTTTTCTACGGACCTTTTTCAGTCGGCTTCTTCTGATGGCCTTTTTGGCCTGAACACTAGTGGCAGCGTCGTTTGCCTATTGACGGATCGGCTGCAAGGCCGTTGCAAAGGCCGGCTTGCTTGCCACTCTTCTCCTTTTTGCAATGCATGTCCATTGCAATGCTGGCAATAGACTTTGTTGCCCTTTCTCCACAAGTTGTGGGTTGGGCTGCCAGTCCACCGTGGATGTGGTTGCCACGGTCCATACCAACATGGTCCTTCATGGAGCTGCTGGATTTTCTCTCTGGCAGAGTTCTTGAGAACTCTGGCACTGCACTTTTGGCACACAATGTAATTGGCCTGGAGCGAGAAGAGGTGGCCATCAACCGGGTGCTCCGCAAGGATTCTGGTGATGTAGTCCTGCTTCGACTCCACTGGTGCCTCTCCTCCCATGCCACTGGCCACTTCACATGCCTCATTTTTGGCTGTTTTCAGCGCTTCCATGGGCATCCTTTGATCCTGGCTTTCTGTCGTTGTTCTTTGCCAGTGGCCTTCTGCCCGTGCATGAAGTGATCCTGAGTCTCCAGAAGAAAGCGTATGCGGGCTGCGGCCAAAGGCGCATATTGGCCATACCGCTGATCCTGCTGCTGCAGCTCTTGCTCAATGGCCACTGGTTGCTTCGAGAGCGCAAACTCTTTTGCTGCCCGGTTGGCATCTTTGAACCTGTTTCGTAACGACAGGCCCGTGCTTGGCATAGTGTTGATCTGCTGCTGGGTCACGCTCAAGGCTCGGATTCGCTGCCTTTGGTCCCAAGTCACCAGTTCAGCAAGGTCGTAGAAGGTCTCATGGTGTCGACCTTTGACCCATCCTTGCCATGCTTTGACGTTGAGCACGTGCACCCTCACCATCGACTGCAAATCCACATAATGAGCGATCATTCTGAGGCCGTAGAACCAGGCGCGAGCAACGGGCTGTTTGCCTGGTAGCACCGTACTGATGGCCCCCATGCGGTACATTTCTCCAGCAAAGAGAGTATGGTGCAGGAGGGTGACCACGTAGTGTTTCAATCGGCTGTCTCTGCTCGCGGTGGCGAGCCTTATCGTGATGGCATCATGCGGCTGGAGGGTGATCTCGTCCAAGCCCGTCCAGGATCCCCAAGCCTGGATAGCAGCACCACCTGTCGAAATCTGGTATGGTGGCCGTTGAACCAGACCTTGTGCCCAAAACTCTCTGTTGATGCCCTGCTCCAACTCTGTGGCCACTTCACTGGGTAGTGGTGGAAAGTGACGATTTGTCTCTTTGCGTTGCCAGAGCAAATGGATTGCATCAGCGGCACAACCACAGTGTGGGCATTGGAGGTGTTTGCCTTCTTGCCCTTCCGCCATCTTGGTGAAGATTGCCCCTTGATGCCACGTTTGCAATGCTCCGCGGACCTTGGTGTTGGATTGCTTGTCCAAACGCCGCCATGGAAGCCAGTCAAGGTGGTTCTGCACTTCTTGTAGGTCATGTCTCTTCTGGATGTTGTGAGTGCGTTCACGTTGTTGCGCGCGTCTGAGCTCCTCCAACAGATAGTACCAGCTGGACTTCATGTTGAGGGTGTAATCATCCTCTCCATTGTGTCCGGGCTTCGTCCAAAGGTCGTAGGTGTCTGTGTTCCACCCATGGTCATGGAGGTAACAGATCAAGGCGGCAACTGGTCCGCGGGCGACTTGCCACGGGTGTTTGGCTTTGTGGAGCCGTTCTTTGGTGACCCTCCAGGCTCTCTCCATGTCTCGTTGGAGGTGTTCCGGCCAGTTGCCATAGAACCGGTGATAGACCTTGATCTGCTCCACGAAGGCCTCGTATGCTAGGTCCTTGTGCCTTGGTTGCATGTCGAACAGGATGTCAAGGTTCCCCGTTCGTTGCAATCCCATTTGCCTACCCATTGCTGCTTTGAGCTTTTGGCGGATGTGTGGTGCCAGACCCATTGCCTGGTGCCCCCAACTTATGCCTGCTTGTACGCTGCCCTTGTACAGCCGTAGTTGAACAGCTCGTTGAGGTATCTTCAAGACGTTCATTTTCCTGGTTTTTCCTCCTGCTTTCTTCCGGCGTTGTTTCATCGTCTTGATGCGCCTCAATCTGCTGGCCGTGCAGTCCACCCCCAAGTCCCTCATGATGTCATGCACCGCCGGCCCCCCTGGTGGGAGCTGTTGCTGTAGCAGCCGTTTGGCCTCTATGTTAGAGGCCACGAACCCGGTCTTCTTCTCAGAGATCTTCAGGTCGTCCTCCTCCAAGAGCTGCTTGATGTAGGTGTAGGCCTGGATAGCTATCCGTACCGCGTTCTGTGGATCTCGTTCAATGACATCCAAACTCAGGTCGTCTATCCAAAGGTCCACGCGCAGGAACGGGTACTTTTTGCAGAATGCCTTGAGGGCCTTCTGCAAGTAGATCTTGGCCGCTAAGATCTCCCGCCAAAATTCCATTTGTTGCCCACATGGGCGCAGATGCTTCTCCCTCTGCCTCCAAGATCCTCGTGCCAGAATAGATCTGCATGGCGAAGGAAGCGTGTGTGCCAGGGTAGTTGGAGCTTAACCATCTTTCAGCCAGTTTCTGGAGGTTGATCCTGTCGTAGAAATTGGACAAGTCCAGGAGGACGGACACCACCGTCTTCTTGAGGGCTTGGTGATGTTCGGTGAGGAAGGCACGTTTGAGCGCCACCTGCAGGCACTCTGTTCCTGGGACCGCTCGCTCCCATGGATATTCATCTTCAAGCTGACTCTGCCATTCTTTCGTGTACTGATTGCGGACCCTACACCAAAGACGGTATAGCGTTGCCACCAGTGCAATGGGTCTTTCAATCTCAGTGGACTTGGGGAGCATGGCCACCAAGGATACCAACCATTGGTGTGGGACTGTTCCTGTGGCCTCAACTTGATGAAAGAAAGCCGCAAGCTCCTTCATGGCTGTGTATGGGAGGGCCTTCAGGAAGTCAAAACCAACTCCGTCCAAGCCAGGAGCCTTGTTAGAGAGGAGCTTGATGGTTCTCCGCAAATCCTTTTCTTCAATCGGTTTCATCTTGGCTGCGTGTTCTTTGCCTTTGTCAATCATGGCCGGCAGCGAGGTGACTTTGTGTTGCTCCTGTCTCTGACCCCAAATTGCTGCCCATTGTTGCATTCGTTGTTCCATGCGCTCCTCCCTGGGCAGTTGCTGGAAAGGTCTCAAAAACGGCTGTTCTTCTTGCTTGAGGCTCCGGAACAGACCTCGGTGTCCCTTGAGGGTAGCATTGGCGAGCCATTCACGATAGGTCTCAGTTTCAGCTGCTGTACTACTCTGAAAATGAAGCTCCCGCTGCTGCTTGGCGTACATAAGAAGAGCTTGTCCATGTTCTGGTTCAAATTGACCCCAAAGCATTTCGAAGAGGACCTGGAAACCTTCAAGCGCAATTGGTCCATCATCATGCCAGTGTTGGCTGATGTGCCAACCCAATTTTTGCAATTGAGCCAAATCAGCAAGGTGCATTGTTTTCTTCTGGATCACCTGTTGCAAGCGGAGTTCCATCTGGTTCCAAAAGGAGAGACTGCCTTTCTTCCAGATCCAGGGCTTGCTCGGATCACTCAAGGGCTTTTGCTGGTACTGCAAGCGTGTGCCTCTGCCAGTTGCTGGCTTGTCCAGATGTTGCAGGACGTAGGACTCGATCTTGCCATAGATTGCTCCGGCCTTCTTGCTGATGTAGTCATCCTCCATGTCCAACCACTTGACTGGACATTCAACTTGTTCGAACTGGTCCCATTCTTTGGTCGGTTTCTCCAGCTTGGGTGCCGGGTTGTGCCTCGTGATCTGCTGGACGGTCAGAGCTGTGGTGGCCACATTGAGCTTGAAGTTGAGCTGTGCATGAGGTTTGAACGGCACCTCCCAACACACTTTGACCACCAGGTCTGGACTGATCTGGTTGGTGGCCAAAGCCCAATCCAGTTCATTGCCTGTGCTGCAGGTTTCTTCTCCTGTGGCCACCATTTGGACTTGCATGACCGTGCCCATGGTGGTGGCCATGAACTCACCCGGAGTGATGTTGAAATCACCCATGATGATGCATGGATGGTTGACTCCTGCGACAAAGGAGATCAGCCCACCCCACAACTTCGAGTTCGTCTTGCCTTGAACTCCTTCTCCACATTTGAAGCAGGCCACAATCATGATGAGCTTCAAGTCACTGAAGGTCCACATAGTTGCTACCCATCCACAGCCCTCAATCATTTGTTGGTGGATCTGGTGGATATGCATGTGCGCCGGGTAGACGATCACGATGCCCCCATGTGTGCCTCCCTTGGGGCTCTGTGCTGCTGGTGCTCCAAGGACTCCAAAGCCACGGCCACATAGCCATTGCATAGTTTTGAGATGGTCATCTGGAGCTAGGTGTGTCTCCGCTATGAACAAGGGACTCCTCGTTCTGCCCCCAATCCATTGCCGGACTGCTTGCCCTAAACTCGTCACATTGGCAAATGTGAAATCGATGTGATCTTGCTTCCGCCTTTTTGATTCAGGTTCTAGTGGTTGGCCGCCTTGTATTTGTGTGGGGAAGTCACATCGAAGGTGTTCCGGCAGCAGAGATGCTGACGGGATTGCCCACACTTGGACTATCTGCTGCTTGATGTTCTCTTGCAGGACTGGTAGAGCTCGTGGATATGAGCCGTCATCCACCAACCAATAAAGTCCCCGGGAGACAAAGATGGCGTAGAAATGTCCACTGTGGTGTGCATCACCTGAATGGCATAGAAGCCCCACCAAGGAGTACTGCTCAGTCGTAGTGGTCACGCCATCCAAGCAAACCGGCAGTTGAAATATTGTTGGCACCTGCAACATCTTGTGGTGCTTAGTCCATTCGCCTTGCCGATGGGTGTATCGCCCAATTTGAGCCACCCATAGTCCTCTGCCTGAGAGAACTTGTCCTTCTGCTGTGTTGGCCCATGTGGATATCAAAGTTTCGAACTCTTCACCTCCATCTTCCGGGTAGATGAGATGGGTCGGGAAGGCCGCTCTGAGGTGCACTGCCTGTCTATGATCCACATGGTGGTATTGTGTGATCACCTTGTTGGAGTTGGCCAGATGCTTCCGGCCCAAGCCCACAATCTGAAGGGCCCATTGGCGAAACACCGATTCCGAAAATTCCCCAGTCGACATTGCAGATTCTGGACCACAAAGTCTAGGGAGCTGCAAGTGCTGGTTGATGTGTGTGTCGGTTCGTGAGGTGCACCATCCTTCATGTTGATGTCCTTGTCTGAGTTCATGGAGTCCAGGTTTTGAACTCCTCCACAAAATTGAGGGAAGTTTGTCTCCCTTCGTTGCTCCATAGCTTCATCAGCAGGAGCTCCCCATGTGGCTGCATTCACACGGGCATCCCCTCCCGTGTGGTCTGAGCCAAAATACCCCAGTGTGCATATGTTCAAACCACCTGTTTCCCCTAGGTGAGTGCCACATGCTCTCTGTGCTCTGTCAAGGTTGGGCTGCGGAGAAACCTCGTGAAGGTTACCCACACTTCCTTCTCTTCATAACATTCTCGCTCAGCTTTTGTGCCAGCTCTTTGACCTGATCCGTGGTAGCGGATAGGCCAATATTGGCCATCACGGTCAGCAGGTTTTCTGCTGCCAGTTCTTCTGGAAGGGGTTCTTCTGCTGCCTGCTTCTCCTGCTCTAGTTGCTGGTTGTAGAGATTTGTGGTCTTTTGTACGTAGTTCCTTCTGCGCCGTTTCGATCTTGCTCTGTGTCTCCTTGAGCTCGTTGAGAAGCTGTGTGTACTGGTGCTTGATGGCATCCGCCTTGCTCTGGATTGCAGCTTTCTTCTCCGAAAGCTGCTTGAGGGTCCCAACCGCTTGTTTGAGCTTCTGGTTGACGGGCGGCTCCATCTTCGTGGGCTGGATGATCTTTTCAACTTCTTCTTTGAGGACTGTTGGAAGGCTCTCCAAGTGGTCCTTAATCAAGGTGGGCAAATCCGGCGGAGCCGCCGGTTCTGCTCCCTTGATGCCCATCTCCTCCAACTGCTTCTTCAGGGTGTCCGGGATGTTGGTCCAATGCTCCTGTAGTTTCTTCTCGATGCCTTTCAATTTTAAGGTGCTCTGTTGGGTTTGCCGCCTTGAAGTCCAGGTGGTGGTGTAATCAAGGCTTCCCTGTAAGTTTTCTTTGGCCATTGCTGACCTTTCTTCGGGAAATTCCAGCTGGCCCATTCTACTCGGCGTGGTCGAAGATCAGGGACTTGTAGTTGCTGCCATTTCTTCCCGCACTGATTGCATACCAGTCCAGGCTTGTGCATCAACCGGTCTGCCCAGATCCAGGAGCTTCTGCATCCGGTGCAGACTTGATATTGTCGGCGCATTGCCACCCTTCTCCTTTTCCGGGACCTTCGCCGTGTCCACGCGTAGTGCCCGGCGGGTTGGTGGCTCCCTTCCTTTGAGCCCAAACCTTGAGCCTTCGTTAAATGTATACATATACATACATATATATATATATGTAAAAACATGTAACAACAAATAAAAACATTGTATATATCTATAATAGAAACTGCATGCACTGTATGTGACAAGTGCTTTGTGCTTCCTTGCTTTGCAACTGGTTCATAGATGCATGTATTGCTTCCGCATCAGTGTAATTCTGAAGTTGCCAGTGGCTTCGCCAGGCGGATTTTACTGGTCCTGAGACTAAAGTGTGCAGAGATCCAGCTATTCCTCGCTATTCGTCAAAAGATCAAACAGCAACATGCGCAAACTACTTGAACTTAGTATGACTTAGTTGCTAGTTGAGTCAGAGAGCGGTTTCCTTTCTGAAGAGGTTACCGAGGGCAGGAAGGTGACCACTATCCTGAGGATAGCATTTCCGTCCGTTCCAGTTCCCAATCATCGCCAGTGGAGTGTTGTGTTGTTCCGTGTCTTTTCAATATATATATTATATATATATATTTATCATATTTTACCATTGTTTTCTAGAAGGCCGTGAAATTCATCGCCCCTTGGACCATTCTGGGCTCTTGGCATGTCACCACTTGCAGTTGGCATTGTCTCTGCAAGCTCAGGGGATCCTGGAGCGTCAAGCATACAACAAACGGCCTGATGCAAATAATTTATCATGGTCCCAAACCAAGAAGCTAGGCTAGCCCGACTAAGACCTACTCACTGATCAATATCAACATTTACATTACAGCACAATCGAAGGTGCATGTAATTTTGACTACTAATTGAAGTCTGGGTCAGAAGGTCAACGATTCGACACTCACAGTAGAACTTGCACATCTGTTCTGCTAATTTTCTCTGACAACCTCTGACAACCCTTTTGTTCAGAAGAATAATCGGACTCAATTCTATTCAGCCACGCAAACAAGCCTAGGGCTAACAGACCAAATCAACCAAATCTTGGTCTTAGTCTTCAGATTTTGGCGAAGAAAAAGGCATGAAACTACAGTTGTGGCGAGTGTGACAAGGCACCGGCCAACGTTGGTCCCTGCTAAGCTGTTGGAATCAACAATTCAATGGAGATGAAAGGTCACAGCTCTTTGACAAACGTTCAGGGCTCCATAAAGACAATTGTTCCCTCACAGGATTTCGCATGTACAGCACTTCGCAGTCGTCATAATAACGAATTTTGGTCCTCCCAAGCCCTCCCACATGGGCAAACTGGGGATTCCCAAACTGGAAGGTCTTCACAAGATACCAGCAAAAGGAATTCTCAGCTCTTTTTCTTGAGATCTTCCGTTATAAACCTAAAACAAAATTACTGTACTTGATGAACAAGAGGCTCCAAACCATTCTTTGGATGATACAAAGTTGAATCAAGGGATTATTGCCACGCCGCCTGGAGCACAACCCCTGACCGATTGGACCTTCGTTGGCGAATCTCCCCCTCTTGGCTTTCCGCAGATCGCCAGACTCGTCGGTTCCTTCCAGCTACTTCCTTTCTTTAAACTGCGTCGATGAACATTTCGTCTCATAGCTTACAATGAGTCTCACCATCTAGACACGGACGTAGCTATGTGCGGTTGCGACATAGATTCAAATGCTTGCTGCTGTGCTCTCCAATATTCCCAAAATGCAACGGAAGCACATAAGCAGCCATTGACCCTCTTCCAACAGGCCTACTGATGTGATGAATTCTATATATATACATCGTGAATTAACCCAAATGGGTCCGCCTTTCAATTACATACATGCTCGGCCATGCAAAAAATCTTAATGCTTGTGTCTACTCTCTCCAAAACCTGAACTGAACTCTCTCTGGCTCACACATAAACACAATTATATATAATGACTCTACAATATATACTACATGCTGTTTGTCTTAGTGCTGAGTCATGTGGCCTAATTGCGTGTCTGCGCTTGAGATTTGTAGGAACTTGCACTATATAAGTCACTTGCCCAGCTATATATAAATAGGTTTGCATGTTTTAAACAAATATGTTAATATGACTTGCACAAGGACACTAGGAAATGTTGAGCATGTTGAGCTCATGAGGAATCTTGTTTCCAATGGAGCTTGCAGCTGGCTTAGTGAAACAAGCAGGGGAAGCCTCTCCCGAAGCTATATGCAAAATAGAACAAAGCCCCTTCGCACGTGTGTGACACATCACAAGTAACTTGTCCAGAACAAACTAATCCTATCTAATCCCAGCAGATCCTAAGACATGAACAGATGCAGAACAGAAATGCGGCAACTCAAGAACTCCAGCTGCCTGCAGTTGCACTATTCGTGTGACCGTTGCATGGCCCAGGGCCGTCCTGGGATTCGAGTACCACTTCTGGCCTCGGGGCCTTTGACTTGTTCAAAAGACATTCTTGCTTCAGATTGTGAGGGATATGACAGCATGTAGAGTAGAGACCATCTAGATCGTAACTTACAAGATGGCACCTATCCTAATACAAGCTTTGTTTGCTGACTATTCACCAAATCAGCTGACAAATTCCCTTTGTGGCAATTCCTACTCTACTTCCCCGACTTTTCTGAGTCGTGCACCGCGGCCATGCTCGCATGTCGTGCCGAAGGACGTGGTATGGTTTGGGGCTAGGTATTGAGATTCAGGGGGCACACAATATATCAATCTACACACCTTGTAAGCCACAACAAATACACTGGGGTAAGCAAAGGAGTAGGTGATCAGAGGCAGTCCGCAGGCGGGCTGACAAATGCCTTTTGTTGCTCTTGCAAGTCCCTATGGCCCTATGACAATCTGAGCCGCAGATTTGAACACATGAACCTAGTACAAGTACAAGTGTCAGGACATCCCAACAGAAATCAGCAAACATCATGAAGTTTCCAAGGAAACGACAAGGTTCAAGTGGAGAACCACTTCCAACAGGGTGTTGCAAAGCAACATCAACTGGATGGACTTCGAAGTGACTTCGGACTTCAATCTGAATGCAGCTCCGGGTGAAGGACCTTCCTCACACTGTGGTCAATGAGGACAACCTCAAAAGCTCTACTGTATGCTGCCCAGCAAGTGCATCACTGATGCACTCCACATTGAAGCAACATCATTGCACAGCCGAACTATATAGTTCTGAAATGATGAATCAAGATGATTCTAATATGCCCTGTTTTTGACATGTTTTTTGGCCTGATGCACGGATTGTCTGGTAGAAAAATTATTGCATCGAACAACCCCTATCGGATCGATACGGAGATGCCATTCCATTCCAAAGACAAGTGCTGAGTGCTCCCTCAAGCAAGCCAGAGATGCAGTGACAGGAATGAGGTCACCTGCGAAAGCCGCGAAAGTATTGCAGATCCCTCTAGTTTGACCCCACACCAGTGTGGACCAAATCCAGGGTTCCGCCTATAATGAAGAATCATTGCTTACAGGCTTACAACTCCAAACTCATTGCAATATGCGGAGGTCCCGTGACAGTACATTCTTTTGCTAAAGCAACGTGAACTCGGGTATCTAGCTGAGGCTAGCTAGCTTAGGTTTCCCAAAACCAATGGCACTGCGTGCTAGGCACGCACAAGTGTGCTTGGAAGTGGGCACATGTGGGGCTGCTGTCCCAAGCAACCATTGACAAAAGATCCCATAATACAAAACTACACAATGAAATCATCTGAGTGTGTTTGAAAGACTGGTCAATCAACCACAGTTGGGTCTTCAATCTCTGCCAATGTGTTGCACCAACCGTCAGGACTTGTAAGATTGCACGTCTACTGACATTTTGGCGCTTCCAACGGGCTTTCGGCTTTCGGGATCTTTCGTGAATAAAGCGTTCCACAAAACCTTTTGCGTCACTTTTGTGTCCGTGTTTGTTCACAAAGTCACCCTACTTTGCCATTCTGCCATATTCTGCCTATCTCTTGAAAGTGTTACATGTGAGGCTCTCGTCGCAGCTCGACACCTTGAAGTTGGACTAAAAGAGGTAGTACAGTACCAGTATCAAGTTCACGGCCAGAAGGAGTCTTGACTTCAATATTGTACATGAATACTAAGCTCCCTGCCTTCATTGAGATGTTCAGGTGTGGCATTGATGTTGAGATCAGAAACCTGAGCCGGAACAACCCCTAAATGACCTGAAGAGTGCAAGAAGAGCAGCAGGGTGTGTGCTTGAGAACGAAAACAAGGAAATACAACTAATTGTCAATTGTCACTGCTCAAAAGTCCCAAACGGTCAATTTAATTGACTGTTCTTTTGTTGCCCTTAACTCCTCGAAACAGAGGCAGTGGCACATTGTCTTGCCGTATGCTCCACCTCTCGGAGGTGAGACCACAACGACAGTTGCCCGTGTCCCTGCCTCCTTACTGAATTGGGTAAGTAGGCGCCTACTCAATTAATTAAGTGAGCAAACTACTAGGCTATGTTAGCTACTGACTGGACGCAGGATAGCGCTCGCACTAATGATTTGGTTCCTAGATTTTAGGCGGACAAAGAAGAAACCTCTGTGATCCTACTTCAAAAGGTCGCAAGAGAACGATCTCTAGTGCTCCACAACATAACTGATTCTTGGAAGTGTCATTCTTGAGGTTGATTCTGTGCCCACTCTTGTAACAGGATGTAACAGGCAATGTATGAATGTGTTTCAGTGTATCTTCTTTGTTCCCAATACTACACTACACAAACCTCGTGATCACTTGAGAGAGGAGGGGGTGAACGAAAGGTAGCAGGCAATCACAAGTAACCCTGGTAGAAGTCCATGACGGCGTGAACCGGCGCAGGGGGGATTTGATCCAGGCCCCCCCCCGACGAACAGAATCAACTCTTACAGGACCAAACTCAATGCACAATCCCAACTTCTGATTGTAATACATTTTTGCTAAAGCAAGGAGAACTCAGGTAGCTCAAGCTACCTTTCGTGAATTGCTGCGTGCGCCTTCTGGAGTCCGACAATTTGGCAAGTCAAGTTTCCCTGCCTCTGGATGGCTGCTGTGGGTGCTTTGCATGATGAAAGACCTGGCGCAACATTAGTAGTGTGGAAGAAGTGACCAAGTCAGCCTGACAAAACCACAAGTTGCGCTTCTTGACTTCGGGACAAACCCTTTCCCCTTAGAATCCTACGTGCAACATGTCGACACCTAAGTTGCGGTCAGATTTCCACACCTGAAAGCCTGAGAAAGGAGAGGACGAAAGCCAGCGAGAGACCAATATGGTAGTGCAAGACTGGGAGGAAAAAATAGCGGAGCACTTCTTGTTGAATGCCTGTAGCTTTCGTGGAGCTTGTATCAACGTGGAGTAGATCAAGATCGGAGCACAGCATGAAGTGTTGAATGTTTTAGGCTTTCTCGATTTTCGTGGCGCGGTGCTCTCTGGAGCGTCCCTGTTTGGTGGTCTACTTGAGAATCCGTGTAAAAATAAACGTCAGTGAAGACCAGGAGAAGGATGGTGGTTTTTGTTTGTTTTGAAATGTGTTTCGGGCACCGTGCATCAATGCGAAGAAGCGCTATAAAGAGCAGGGCTGGGAGAAAAAAAGAGGAGAGCACTCATTCTTGAATGGTTGTAGTTTTCGTGGACCTGGTATCACTGCGACGTAGATGAAGATCGGAGCACAGCATGAAGTGTTGAATGTTTTAGTATTCTTCATTTGCTTGGCGCGGCGCCTTCTGGAGCGTCCCTTGTTGGTGTTCTATTTGAGAATCCGTGCAAAAATAAATGTCAGTGAACACCAGGAGAGTGATGCCCGATATGGTTTTTGTGGTTGTGTTGAGATGTGTTTCGTGTTTCGTGCATCAATGCGAAGCCCTATAGAGAGCAGGGCCGGGAGGAAAAAATAGCAGAGCACCTATAGTTGAAAGCTTGTAGTTTCGTGGAGCTGGCGTCACTGCGACTGAGATCAAGATCGGAGCACAGCATGAAGTGTTGAACGCTTGCAGCTTTCTTGCTTCTCCTCTTGCGGCGCTCTTATCCCCAAGCCTCTACCCCGCCCAACTGGACATGCTCGGCTCACATCGTTCGCTCCCAGAGCGTTCACTCTTCGTTGCTTGGTCCTCCTTGGTATGATCAGAGCTACACAGTCCCTATGCCCTGCTCAGGACTAGAAAAATTGTCTCCAGACCCCTTCATGACGCTAATGATGCACTACTCGGACTCGGCGTCCATTGCATCACTCGCATCACCAGACCCCATTTTCACTGCTTTTCTGACCCTCGCTTTGGAGCGCTCTCCCCCACCAAGCTCCGGGTTCACCCTCTCAAATGGTGCCTTTTCGCGCCCTCCCCCCCCCACCCCCTTAACTCACTTCGTTCGCTCTAAGAGCTCAAGTCTAGCCTATCGGCTGGCTTTCGTAATAAAATATAAATTTAAACGGGTGTGGAAATCTGACCGCGCTGTACTTGCCAGGCAAAATGGACGTGTCAATCCGATCCGCTGTAGACCGCAAGCGTCATGTTGGAACAGAGTAAGAAGCGTAAACTTTAGGGTTCTTGAAGTATATGTGGCGGCTGTATGGATGGACGAACCGCCACTGACGCGGCGCCAGAACCTGGTGGCCTTGGATATTTTTTTGAGAAACTCTTCTCCCTGATTCAATGGAAGTAGGAGTAGCAGGGATGACTGCAGGAAGTAAAAGAGGTTCTAGCCATAATACATATGCAATTCTTTTTGATTAGTTATACCGTATATAAATGATTATAAACATATATATATATATAGTGTCCCTCTGGAAACATCCCTGGGTCTTCGGCATCTGGCATTGCATCAGTACTGGAAGAATGCCTGAAACACAATAATCTATATAGTTATTATCGCTGTTTGCCCTCCTGGCTACAAAGTACAAAGAGGTATTGAAGGTCAAGGATTGTCGACTGTGTTTAGTTTCCATACAAATCCAGGGGCCGCTTCATACAGTGAGGGTGCTCTAAGGGAGCTTCTCCTGTCATCAGACAGGGGAAGCTTCCTTGAAGAAACCTCGCGCCGCACTACTGCCTCTGGATGGCGCTAGCAGTTTCCTTTCTACTGCTTAACTACATCTTATTGCTAGCAACCTTAAGCTACCTTACATAAACCATGATTTTCTCTGCTCTTCACGAGCAAATATATATATATATACACACATGTATGCAAGAAATCTCTCACGTTGCAACCACAAGTGCGTCTGAGGGTGAGGATTGGAATTTCCCACTTCCACCTCACAAACTCCTCCAACTTTGCACTTGGCCTCACCTGCCACGGGAAACAAAGAAAGAAGAAAGGCATGTTCAAAAATGGAGTTCTTTGAGGTTAAGTTGAACCTATATACATCTATCATGTTCGTTCTGCGCCCTTTCAAGCCAAAGCACCGCGCAGGAACCAAAAAGTCTCGGGTTGAACAAAGCTGAGATCTGCACCGCGCCTGCTGGCAGAGTCGAAGCATAAGTTTCCAGCCCAACAAGACGGAACGCTCTGATGGGTTGTCATGTAGCTGCTTCATGACCTGCGCAACAAGTCAGCATGCAAAAAGCGCGACACAAACGTCACCTCTTTGAACAATTCCAATTCGGCTGCAGGTTCTTTCGCTGAAACGTTTGCCTGAACATAGATCTCATCTGCCAGACTTGGGCTGCTTCTCGCCATGTTGATGATATCCTGGATTTTGGATGTTACCAGCAGACCCTAGACACGACCG